AAACACTGGGCTGGAGGAAGCACAAGCTAGAATCAAGATTGCTGGGAGAAATATCATTAACCTCACATATGCAGATGACACCACCCTTATGGCAGAAAGTGGAGAGGAACTAAAAAGCCTCTTGATGAAAGTGAAGGAGGAGAGTGAAAACGTTGTCTTAAAGCTCAACATTCAGAAAACTAAGGTCAAGGCATCTGGTCCCATCACTTCATGGGAAATAGATGGGGAAACAGTGGAAACAGGGTCAGACTTTATTTTTTGGGCTCCAAAATCACTGCAGATGGTGATTGTAGCCATGAAATTAAAAGATGCTTACTCCTTGGAAGGGAAGTTATGACCAACCTAGATAGCATATTAAAAAGCAGAGACATTACTTTGCCAACAAAGGTCCGTCTAGTCAAGGCTATGGTTTTTCCAGTGGTCATGTATAGATGTGAGAATTGGACTATAAAGAAAGCTGAGCACCAAAGAATTGATGCTTTTGAACTGTGGTGCTGGAGAAGACTCTTGAGGGTTCCTTGGACTGCAAAAAGATCCAACCAGTCCATCCTAAAGGAGATCAGTCCTGGGTGTTCATTGGAAGGACTGATGTTGAAGCTGAAACTCCAATCCTTTGGCAACCTCATGCGAAGAGTTGACTCACTGGAAAAGACCCTGATGCTGGGAAAGATTGGGGACAAGAGGAGAAGGGGATAACAGAGGATGAGATGGCTGGATGGCATCACCGACTCAATGGACATGGGTCTGGGTAGACTCTGGGAGTTGGTGATGGACAGGGAGGCCTGGCGTGCTGTGAGTCATGGGGTCGCAAAGAGTTGGACACAACTGAGTGAATGAACTGAACTGAAGTTGAAAGAATTTAAGAAAACAGCAGAAGCTTATTTAGACCCTCTGATCACCTTTCACCCCGAAGTAGGTCATAGTATTCTTAAGTGAGAAGTGCTTTCCCTATAGAAACAAAAGTGCATCCTCACCTCCAAAGACAAATGATGCCAGAAAGAGTCCAAATGGGCCTTGCTAAGTTTCCCCCAGCATACTACACTCAGCTCATGCTCCTTGGCCTGTTATATTTCTCCATGAGTATCCACTCTTCATCAAATCTAGTGTGAAAATTACTCAGGTTTCACTGTTTCTTCAGATGTTGATTTTTTTATGAAGACTAATGTTTCTTAAGACTTACTTTAAGTAAATTTACATGTTTTCTCCTACTACTCTATCTTGGTCAATTGAATTTTCAAAGCCAGCCAGGGATCCCAAGACGGTGGAGTAAAAAGAAAAAAAAAAAAATTCCCCTAAATTTCTAAGAAATTACAATGAAATATGTCCTGAAGCTTTTCTTTGGTCTTTTCTTTTAAGACTCATAGATTTAGGTCTTGCATTGAGGTCTTTGATCCATCTTCAGTTAATTTTTGTATATGGTGAAAGGTAAGGGTACAGTTTATTCTTTTGCATGTAGATATCTAGTTTTCCCACAACCATTTGTTGAAAATGTCTTTTTTTCTATGGAATGGTCTTGGCTTCCTTATCAGGAGTCATTTGACTGTGATTGTGAGAGTTTATTTCCGGGCTCTGTATTCTATTCCATTGTTCTGTCTGCATTCATGACAATACCACACTTTTGATTACAGTGTGAAAGCATGATAGTCACTCTGTTGTCTGACTCTTTGCTCCCAATAGACTGTACGCCTCCAGGCTCCTCTCTTCATGGGGTTTCCCAGGCAAGAGTACTGGAGTGAGTAGCCATTCCATTCTCTAGGGGATCTTCCCGACCCAGGGATTGAGCCATGGTCTCCTGCGTCGCAGGCACATTCTTTACTGTCTGAATCACCATGGAAGCTTTGCCAGAAGCTTGAAATCAGCAAGTGTGATACCTTTAACCTTGTCCTTCTTTTTCAGAGTTGTCTGGCCATTCAAGCTCTCCAGGTTTACTGTTATGACACAGTTATAAAGAGGACAAAATTTGTAAAACATTTGTGCAGGTTCATCAGTTTTTTCTAAGAATCTTTCTTAATTTTTTGATACTCAAATCAATGTGAAGTCTGTGAAGTATCTGTCGTGTCATCATCCCTGTAAATTTGTCTTCATCTGTTCACTGGAGCAGCTCTTCCATATGAGTGTCTTTCTAAGTGTCTGAACCGTGCTTTGATATCATGAAATCCTGCATCTTTTACAAGATGTAAAATTCTTTTTTGAAATAGATTTGCTCTTATATTTTGTGGTGCTAATAGATGTATACCTGTGCTAACCAGTGTGTGCTGCCTCAGTTGTCTCAAGATCTGTTAAGTAGGGAGGGATCTTAAATGTAGACTAATTGTTATAAATTGTCACTTGTGTAGTGAATATTTTTTACATAATTAAACTTTGTGAGTTTGGGGTTTCTGATGGTAAGTACTCAAATAAGGATAAGTTGTCATTGTTGAGGCTATCAGAATGGATATCTTCCTGAGAATAAAGTGCTTTGAGAGAGCTGGAAAGAAAACCAAAGTGCTCACGAGTCCACTGACTTTTAGAGAGTTGAGGGTAAAAACATTAAGCATTCCTTCCTGGGGAATGAGTTCTTAAGGAATTATGACAAGAATTTGACTAATTAAATAAAAACTGGTATTAAACAAAGAATTTCAGATTAGTTTCTCAGGAAGAATGATTACCCAGGAAAGAGAAATGTGGGATGTGGTATCATTCTGTAAGAAAGAAAGAGGAAAAAAGGATGACAGATGGAAAAGAACCTTGGGTTTCAATTTCTTTTAGAATAAAATGGAGGTAAGATATGTGTCTCCCATTGAGCTCCCATTGTCACACATTTTTTTTTCTTTCATGTTCTTATTTTTATGCACAAATTTTTTGCAGAGATACAATTAGAGACCATACAAAGCTTCTCATTTTTGAATTTATGTTGAACACTATTGAATCTCCATGTTTCCTGGCCCGTGAACTACTCCTGCAGGGCTTTTGTCACAGCTGGCATCCACCCACCTTGACGTTAGTTAGTAACAGCTGAGAGTATTTCCCTTCGGAACTACCTGCAATTTAATGAGGGATTCTAGATATTTAGTAGAACCATATACAAAACAAAAGTTATAAATATATATGGAGGCGTTTCAAGCACATGTATAAAGTCGTTGTTTTATTCATTCTCTACTCATTTCTACTAAGGGTGTTTATTGAGTTTTGTGCTCACAGTATTAGACTGAGAACACAAAAATAAATCAGTCCTTAAGAAGTTTGCTATCTAAGTTCTCAACCAGGAGGCATAATAGCACTATCCCCATGTTTGAACATACCTGGGGGCAGTTTGGTTTGTTCCAATGACTTGGGGGACATTACTGGTATTTAGTGGGCAGAAACACTCTGGAAAGATTTGCATAGAGAAGAATTATCCGGCCCTAAACAGTGGTGTCTCCATTGATAAACAAACGCTAGAAAAAGAATACTAGTAGCAGTGATTTATTCTATACCATACTGTCTTAAGCACCTTACCTGCATTGCTGAACTTCACCTTGACACGCTGGGCTTCCCTGGTGGCTCAGCTGGGAAAGAATCCGCCCGCAACGCGGGAGACCTGGGTTCAGTCCCTGGGTTGGGAAAATCCTCTGAAGAAGGGAACAGCTACCCACTCCAGTACTCTGGCCTAGAGAGTTCCATGGACTGTATAGCCCATGGGGTCACACAGAGTCGGACTCGACTGAGCGACTTTCACTTTCTCACTTTCACTTGACATTTTGGAGTCAATACTACACTTTTTTGAATAGCTGACTGGATAAACAAGTCTTTCATGGTTATGCTGCTAAGTAGATGGCAGAACCAGATTTTAAACAGTGTTCTAGATTAGACCCCAGGACCTATAATTTTAATGACAATTAAATGACTTTTTATTATATTATTATATTCATAATTATAAAACTATTATTTTTAATAATAATTTAATAACAATTTTAATAACTGGCACATAGAGCTTCTTAAGGTAAAGGTAAAACAGAACATGGAGATCTGCATGCATGAGCATGCAGAACATGCATGAGCAAACCCAGAGGGCACAGACTATGATTCATTCATCTCTCTTCCTTAGGCCTAGTGCAAGGACTGCAAAATTCCTCTCCTCTAACCTGTCATTTTTGCCTGGAGAATCCCAGCGGTGGGGGAGCCTGGTGGGCTGCTGTCTATGGGGTCGCACAGAGTCAGACACGACTGAAGTGACTTAGCAGCAGCAGCAGCACCTGTCATTTTATTTAGTTCAATAGACTTTAAAAATAATTCACATCCAAAAAATTTAAAAAACGCCACACCTCAGGGTGCCTCCCCATAGGGAAGGAGCGCGCCCAGCTCCTGCAGGATATTCAGGAAAGTCATCCACACAGGGACCTGACCACACCACACACTGGCTGGTTCACAGGACTTATTATCCTATCCTAGACATCCTGGTTCTATTAGCCCTAGCTGCAGGGACCAAAAGTTTCCTCTGCCCCTTCTGAAATATTAGATAATGTCAGTGCAGGGGGATAATACACTCTTTCTGTATTTCTGCCCTGCAGTGCAGCAACTGTTGCTCTTGGGGATGATTGTGCTAATTCTTAGGTCATTAACGCCAAGGACTACATGACTACACACTACTCTAACCAGAGAGAATGCAAAACAGTGCAATACATCTTTCTGGAGCATGAAGTTTAGTAAGATTGAACCAAGGGAAGAACCAAAGAGTTGGCAATAACTATCCTCTCCCCCACCACATGGAAGACAGAAGTGTGGGGGATGGGGACATGCCCCAGGGGACAGTCCAGTCTCTGAAGTTTCACCCAGCAGGGGAGGAGGGGCAGCCAGGCCAGGGTGGCGCCTCTTCTGGTCGCCCAGGCCCCTCCAGAGCATCCTCTGTGCTGGCCAGGGTTCTGGACAGGAGGCTTCCTGAAGGGGTGGAGGTGCTGGGTTTGAGTCCCATCATCCAGGTGGGAATATGCTGAGGTCCCATGGGGCTTGGCGGGTCATCCACTGGGTGTTTCTGGGCTCACTTTATTGTGCAGCCCACAGCAAAGGTATTTAAATATACCTCTCCAGATTCTCCCAGCCACCGCCGTCTTTTTCTGGGTGAGGCCAGAGGGAGTGACTGTGGAGATATTCTCGGGCTGCCCAACAAGGGTGGAGCTTCCCGCATCAGGCACATCTGGGGGGCAGTGGGTCCCTTCTGGGACTTCACCGCTGACGTCATGGGTGCTGCAGGCGTCTCAGGTGCCCCTGGTGTCCTGGGTGACAGTAGCATGAGGATTGTGGGTGCCGTGGGCACCACTGGTGTCACTGGCGAGACAGGTGTCACTGGCGACACTGGCGCCGCAGGTATCACGGGAGCCACGTGCGTCTTCTGTGCTGCAGGCCCCAGTGCTGTCCGGGGTGCTTAGGGCGTCATGGCTGAAGCTGGTGTCACAGGTGCTGCAGGCGTCACAGGTAAAGCTGGCACCACTGGTATTACAGCTGTCGCAGGCGCTGCTGGCGTCACAGCCGTTTCTGGTGTCCCACGTAGCACTGGTATCACAGGTGTGGCTGCTGTCACACCTGTCGCAGGTGTCACAGGTGAGGCTGGCCCCGCACGTGTCATGGCGGTCACCAGCGTGATCGGTGGCTCGGGCGATGCTGTCATCATGGGTGTCGTGAGTGGAGGGGGCTGAGCTGGGGGTGACGGTCCTCGCCTCCGGGCAGGGTGGGGGAGTGGCAGGCTCTCTAGTCGTCTCCCTTGACTCCTGGCTCTCCTGCTGCTGAATGGTATCCCAAAGCCAGTCGGGAATAAGCATGGACACTTCAGGGCTGGCGGGAGGCGTATGTTCTTGGCTGCTGAGGTCGGAGGAAATGGCTGGCCTCACAATGATGGTGCGGGCCCCCACCTTGGGTTCATCCCTGTCACTGCCACTGCTTGTAAGCCAGCCCTGGATCTGGTCCCTCCACCAGCCCAGTACCATCTCCGCTGTCACCCCAGGGTACTCTTCACAGGCTGGCGGGAGTGGTTCCTCCTGGCCCATGTTCACCCATGGATGCTGCCAAACATCATCTAAAGTCCCTCTGTTGGTAGGGTTGAGCGTTAGCATCCTCTGTATTAAATTCGTGATTTCACTTGATAGGTGTTTGGGCACATGGTACTGCCCTCTGAGGATGCACTGCCGCAGCTCCCAGAAATCTCGTCCCCTGAAGGGGAGGGATCCAGTTACCATGGTATACAGGACGACGCCGAGGCTCCACACATCCACCTCTGGGCCTGTGTAAGGCAGCCTCAGGAAGAGTTCTGGGGCCGTGAACGCAGGGCTGCCGCAGAAAGTGTCTAGCTTCTTTCCTGGGTGCCACTGGTTGCTAAGGCCAAACTCTGAAATCTTTATATTGTTGTTGGCATCAAGGAGAAGGCTGCTCAGCTTCACGTCCCGGTGCACCACGCCCCGCTGGTGGCAGTGCTGGAGAGCCGAGACCAGCTGGCGGAACGCGCCTCGGGCCTCCCCCTCCGTCAGGCAGCCTTGGACCTCCAAGTAGGTGAATAAGTCTCCCCCACTGTTCATTACTATGAACAGAGTCTCTGGTGTATCGGTGACCTCCAGGAGTTTCACGATATTCGGGTGGTTTACCATTCTCATACTGTTAACCTCTCGAAACAGTTCCTGGAGGTCGGAGAAGTTCTGATGTGTCTTTTCAATGACCTTGATGGCTACCATTCCCTTGGTCAGAACATGCCGGGCCAGTTTCACTTTGCCGAATTGGCCTTCACCAATTGTGTGAAGGATCTCATAATTTTCTATACGAGTCATCTTGTTAGTGGAGATGGCTATGAAGCCCTGCATCCCTAACTATACTAACTACCACTAAGCTATACTAATTACCTAACTATACTAACTCTACCACTAACTATACTACCACTAAGCCCTCACTAAGAATGCTAACTGTTCTAACAATACTGCTTATGCTAACAGTGCTATACAACTATTCTAATGCTAACAACTATAGTCACAGTGCTAATACTAACTATGCTAGGAAACTGTTAACTGTACCTACTACACTAAGTATACCGAGAATACTAACAGTGCTAACACTAACTATACTATCTATGCTAACAAACTATTAGCTATACCAACTATGCTAACTATATCAATGATACTCTCTATACTAATACTAGCAACACTAACTAAAATAATAAGAAGAAGATAAAATGAGAAAAAGAAGGGAAAAAATGGGAAAAAGCAAAAAATGAGGAGAAACTAAAAATGAAACAAAAAAAAGATAAGACACAAATTTAAAAAATGAGCAAAAGACAAAGAAAAAAGAGAAACATAAAAAAGAGAAAAAGGAAAAAGAATCAACAAAATGGCAAAAATACGGAAAAAAGCTCGCTAGCTGTAGGTCCAGCCGTCAGGTCACCAAAATCAGCTTCCTGGGCTCTGTGGACAAAAACCTGCACCAGCTGGGGTCTTATAAAGGGTTTTTGTGAGTTTCATCACAGTGATGCCCTGTGAGGTCAGAGCAAGAAATGGACCAGTCGTGGCTGGGGATAAACCCAGTGGTTTTTCTCCCATTTCAGCTTCAAGGCCCCTTTACACTTAGGTAAAAGGTCCCAAAGAGATTTTTCTTTAAATATATTAGAGACTGGTATTCACTTCGTTAGAAAGTAAAATCTGTAGGAGGCTTCAGCAACTTTTTCATTTCTAGTTTGAAAGTTAGTTATAATTTTAAAGACCTCATAATGTCTCCACTTGAAATATTCTTTTTCCTTAAACTCTGGTGGCAATGTGATGATTTAACTGACTTGGTGAAACTATAGGAAAATGTTCTATTGTGTGAGACACTGGTAAAGCACATTATTAATGTTTATGAAGGCGAGAGAAGATTTGCCAGGAGGATCAAGAGCAGATTTCTCATCGGGAGCCTCAGAAGTCAGATGACATGGGTCAGTGTCTTTGAAATGTGTTGAAGGAAAGAAGGAAATGTTAACCAAGAACCCTATGTTTAGAAAAGCTGTCCTTTAACATCAAAGAGTGATGGAGGCATTCCCAGTTCAGGAGAGTTGGGAGGATCCAAACCGCCCGATTTCCCGAGCCAGGGAGCCCTTCAGAGGGGAAGGACAGACCCTCAGCAGTGACTCTGAGCTTCACGAAGAGAGAAGGGTCTCCGGCAAAAGGAGATGCATGGAGGCTTAGAAAGCCAGCGCTGCACCGCTGTATTAGAGTGGGCAACCAGCTCGGACCTACTGCATAGCATAGGGACTCTGCTCAATGACCTGTGGCAGCCTCGATGGGAGGGTAGTTTGGGAAAGAATGGATACACGTGTATGTATGGCTGAGTTCCTTTGCTGTCCACCTGAAATTATCACATTGTTCATCAGCTATGTTGTCGTGCAGTCACCTAAGTGTGTCCAGCTCTTTGTGACCCCATGAATGGCAGCATGCCAGGCTTCCCTGTCCCTCACCATCTCCTGAAGTTTGCCCAAGTTCATATCCATTGTGTCAGTGATGCCATCCAGCCATCTCATCCTCTGACACCCTCTTCTCCTTCTGCCCTTAATCCTTCCCAGCTTCAGGGACCTTTCCAAAGAGTTAGCTATTTGCATCAGGTGACCAAAATACTGGAGCTTCAGCATCAGTCCCTCCAATGAGTATCCAGGGTTGATTTCCCTTAAGATTGACTGGTTTGATCTCTTGGCTGTCCACGGGACTCTCAGGAGTCTTCTCCAGCACCACAGTTTGAGGGCATTAATGCTTTGGTACTCTGCCTTCTTTACGGTCTAGCTCTCACAACCATACGTGACCACTGGGAAGACTATACAGACCTTAGTCGACGGAGTAACGTCTCTGCTTTTCAACACACTGTCTAGACAAAAAGATATGACACTGAAAGATGAGCATAAAATTAAAAGTTAAAGAAAAAGAAAAACCAATACTATTGTAACTCTGATTTGAAGCTCCAGTTTTTGTTTTCAATTTGATTTGAGACTAATATATAATAAACATTTCTAATACTTTTTTTTTTAATTTGGGAGAAAAATCTGATTGGTCTCTAAAATAAATGTATGTTTCAGACCTCAAGGATAGCATTTGTAAGTCTTTGTCCTCCAATATGAAGGCAAACCAGGGTCGGATCCCTTTGAATGCATCAGCTAAATGACAGAAGCTACAAAATAAACTGATGTGAGGCAATAATTGCAATAAGAGCAGACTTCAAGAAATGGAACTGAGGAACACTAGCAATAGGTGCATTAAGGTCTCAGAACCCATATTCCAGATACCAACTTGAATAATATAGTAAAAAATATCCAGTAAAAATTTTTATGAAATGTGTAGACTCTGTATCAGTAATCGTCTGTGTGCATATGTGCTAAGTCACTTCAGTCATGTCCAACTCTTTGTAACCCTATAGACTATATAGCCCGCCAGGTTCCTGTGTCCTTGGGATTCTCCAGGCAAGAATACTGGAGTAGCTTGCCATGCCCTCCTCCAGGGGATCTTCCCAGCCCAGGAATGGAACCAGCATCTCTTGTGTCTCCTGCCTTGGCAGGTGAGTTCTTTACCACTAGCGCCACCTAGCAAGCCCTAATAGTCCGCAGGGTGCCATCCCAGGAAAGCACACACCATGTGCCTTAAATGGCAGCAATTTATATATTTTCACAGTTCTAGAGGGTTGAAGTCCAGAATCAGGATTTTGTCAGGGTTGGTTTGGATCAGACTTCTCTCACTGGCTTGTACACAGCCGCCTTCTATTGTTGTTGTTGTTTAGTTACTAAGTCATGTCCAACTCTTCTGCAACCCCATGGACAGGACTGCAGCCCACCAGGCTCCTCTGTCCTGTCCTCACAGAACCTCTTCTCTGTGCACATAGACAGACAGACAGTTCTGGTGTCTCTTCCTCTCCGTATAAGGACACTTCCTGCTGGATTAAGGCCCCACCCTTTGGCCTCATTTAACCACTAACCTCCTTATAAAGCCTATCTCCAAATAGAATCACACTAGTCCTTAGGGCTTCATTATATACATTTTGAGTGGAAACAGTTTGGTCTATACATCCCATCTTTTGCACCCCCCGCCAAAATTCATGTCCTTTTCATGTGCTATTAAAATACACTCACCTCATCTCGACATCCCTAGAAGTCTTAAGCCATTCCAACATTGATTCCAAGTACAAAGTCTCATTAAAATGTGACCTGATCAGGTATGGGTGAGAAGTGATACATAAAATTACCCCTCACAGAACCCGTAAAGAAAAATATAACACATGTTGAAACACAAATAACAGAAAAGTTGAACAAGTAAGGGTACTTTCAGTGCTGTAAAGGAGTCCAGTCCCTTAAATGAACTGGAACATGTACCTCCAATTCAGAATGCTGTAGAATTCTTTCTTTCAGAACTTAAGATAATTTTGACATTCATATGGGAGAATGAGTGAGGACAAGAGATTTTGAGAAAAACAAATTATTGGAAGTATAGAATGCCTTCCCTTATCTGATGTCAAAGTGTCCTGCAAAGCTGTTGTAAGTAAAATAGTGCAGCATCAATGCTGAATAGACACAGGTCGTGGAGTATAATTAGAGTACAGAAACAGACCCATGTTAAATGAGTAAAGTTCAAAAGCAGTTCATCATAGAGAGAAGAGTTTTTAAAAAATGAACAGTATTAAACTAGAGAAAGGTTTTTTATAGACATTAAAGAAGACCTAAATAAATGAAAAGGCATCATATATTGACAGATCACAAACTTAGTATTATTCATATGACAGCAAATTGATCTACAGATTCAACACAATCCCAGCATCTTTGCAGAAATTGATGAGCTGATCCTAACATTCTTATGGAAATAGAGAGACCCAGGATAGCCAGAACAATTTAGAAAAAGAACAAAGTTGGAGGACTCAGACTTATCAATTTCAAAATACACCACGAAGCCGTCAAAACCAGGACAGTATGGTACTGACATGGGCTTCCCTGGTGGCCCAGCAGTAAAGAACCCAGCTGCCAATGCAGGAGATGTGGGTTTGATCCCTGGGTTGGGAAGATTCTTGGAGAAGAAAATGGCAACCCACTTCAGTATTCTCCAACCTGGGAAACTGCATGGACAGAGGAGCCTGGTGGGCTACAGTCCATGGGGTTGCAAAGAGTTGGACATGACTTGGTGATTAAACAACCACAACCTAGTAGTTATCTTATCAAATGTCCCTAAGTCTGGGTTTGCTGATTAGATGGGATAAAATATTTTTGGCAAGATCATTACTGAAGTGATGTTATGACCTTTATCCTTCTCAGAAGGTGCATGAGTGCAGTTTGTGCTGCTAATGATATCGATTTTGATTACTTAGTTAAGGTGCTGAATGATAGAATTATCCACCATAAAAGTGTTTTCACATTTGCAATGAATAAATATCTTGTGGGGAGACACTTTGAGACTATTCAAATGTCTTGTTTCTCATCTCACTTTTTCCCATTAACTTTAGCATCCTTCAGTGATTACTTCTCTGCAACAAAGTTCAGTGTGGTGTTTACTAATGGTCATTTTTAATTTTCATCATTCCTTATAAAATTATTAATTGAATTCTACTGTAAGGAAGAGCAAGTCTTTCATCTCCACTTATTATTCATTTATTTTTTGTATTAGTATGGATTCATGGATATTTATTTTAGTCTATGGGTTATAATCCATTACTATACTTTTATTTATTTGTTGCTCAAAC